GGCCTGGATTCATTATGGAGACCAGACTGGCCTCGAACTCACAGAGATCTGCCTACCTCTGCCTCTTGAGTGCTGGGATTAAAGGCGTGCGCCACCACACCCGGCCTTTTACTCTGTATTTTTCAGTTTGAATTTTTCATATTACAAGTAGAAGTGAAATCATATAGTATTTCTCTTTCTGTGTCTAACTTAGTTCACTTAACATAGTGCCCTCTATGTTTGTCCATGTTGTCACAAATGACAGGATTTCCTTTTTAAGGCTAGAGTATTCTCTTGAGTATATGTACTATATTTTGTTTGTTTAGTCATCTGTATCTTGGCTGTTAATGCTGTAATGAGCATAGGAGTGCAGGTGTCCCTTCTATATACTGACTTCATTTTTTAAATTGTGGAACCAGAAGTAGGATCATTGGATCTTTTGTTGTTGTTTGGTTTTGTTTTTTGAGACAGGGTCTCACTGTGTAGCACCAGCTGGCCTGGAACTCACTATGTAATCATCCCAGGCTGGCCTTGATCTCACAGCAATTTGCCTACTTCTGCCTCCCAAGAGCTAGGACTAAAGGTGTGTGCCACCACATCAAGTGGATTATTGATTTATTTTTTATTTTTTTTCTTATTGAGACAGGGTCTCCCTGTAGTCCCAGCTGTCCTGGAACTCACTATGGAGACCAGGCTGGGCTTGAACTCACAGAGTGAGTGAGAGTGCTGGAATTAAAGGTGTGAGCCACCATGCCTGGTCTGGTATATATTTTTTTGAGGAACTTTTTTCTGTTTTCCAAAATAGTTCTGCTAACTTATTGTTCTAGTTTGTTTTCTGTTGCAGAAATAAACACCATGACCAAAAGCAACTTTGGGAGGAAAAGGTTTTTTTCATCTTACATGTGCAGGTCACAGTCCATCCCTGAGGGAAGTCAGGGCAGGAACTTGAGGCAGGAACTGAAGCAGAAACCCGAGAGGAAAGCTGTTTCCTGGCTTGCCTTCCCTGGCTTGCTCAGCTGCCTTTCTTATACAGGTCTACCTGCCTAGGGAATGGCACTGCCCACAGTGGGCTGAGCCATCCTATATCAAGCAGCAGTCAAGAAAATGCCCCACAAACATGCCCAACAGGCCAATCGGATTTAAGAAATTCCTCAACTGAGGTTCCCTCCTCCTAGGTGATTCTAGTTTGTGTAAGTTGACAAAGACCAACCAGCACACTTAAATTCCTTCCAACTGTATACATGGGGTACCTTTTCTTTATAGTCATGCTAGCTCTTGTAGTTTTTTTTTTTTTTAATCTCATAATAATCCTCTAACAGATGTGAGGTGATAGCTCACTCTGATTTATTCTCTAATATTTTAGGGCTTTATTTTTTTTAAAGAATCATACTTTACATACAGCAATACAATTGCTTAGTGTATAACACTATAATAGAATTATTTGATACAGTTTTGAACAGAAAAGAAAAGGGGAAAATTTCAGGTTACAAAATAAATTTAACATCAACAAAAAATCACTTTTCCTAAGTGGGTCAGTGTTAAAAATGTATTCAGTGGCTAGTCATGTCTAATTCCTATTGCATTACTGGTCAATGGAATGAAAAGATAGCCCAATTTTCACACTCACTGCCTCAAAGGGATAACACGTACTGGATTCTTAATGATGTTCAGAAATGGTTCTTGCTATTTCAGTATGCAGAAAGTTGAATTCACATATCCTTTGTGAAGAAAAAAACAAAACCTATGCTTTAAAAAATATTACCCTTATTCTCCTTTCTAAATATTATAGTATATCTACACATGCATTTATTAAATGTTCATGTATACATTATCAGCTAAGATACACATATTAGGGAAAACATGGATGTTTACTTTCTAAGATTAGATGCCCTCACTTAATATTTGTAATTCTAGGTCCGTCCATTACACTATTTTATTTTTCATTAGAGCTGAGTAGTATTTCATTTTATATATGCACCAAAATTTCATCATCCAGTCATCTGTTGGTGGACAGCTAGGGTGGTCATTCTCATTTTAATTTGCATTTTTCTATAATTAGTAATATTGAACATTTTTCTCCATGTGTCTATTCCACTTCTGTCTTTTGAGAATTCTCTGTTCAGGTCCTTTCCCCATTTCTTAAAATAGGATTATTTCTTTTCTTACTGCTGAGTGGTTAGAGTTTCTTATATATTTTGGTTATTAACCCAGTATCCGATGGTTTGTAAATATGCTCTCCCATTCCACAGGTTGTCTCATAGCCCCACTGGCAGTTTCATTGCTTGTGCGAAGCCTTTGGTTTCATTATACATGCCTATCCCAGCTTCTGCTGCCCGTACTACTGGGGTCATATCTGGAAAATCGTTGCCCACACCACTGTGATAAGGCTTTTCTCCTGTTTTCTTCTGAGAGTTTTATAGTTTCAGGTCATATATTTAAGTTACCTATGTTGTATTGATTTTTGGTTTGGGGAGGTTGTTTTGGGGGTTGGTTGTTTATGTTTGTTATTTTGTTTTTTTAAGACAGGGTCTCCATCTAGCCTCAGCTGGCTTAGAACTTGCTGTGTAGACCAGGCTGCCCTCAGGCTCACAGAGATCCACCTGCTTCCCGAGTGCTGAGATTAAAAGCATGTGCCATCACACCTGGCTGTGTTGATTTTTGTACATGGTGTGAGATGAAGATCTTATTTTATTCTTTTGCATATACATTTGAAATACCATTAAAGAAACTGTCCTTTTTATTCAGTTGTGTGCTCTTAGTATGTTTGTGAAAATCCATTGACCATGAATGTGTGGATTTAATTTGTGTGCCCTATTCTGTTCTTCTGGCCATTTTTTTTTAAAAATCAGTCCCATGCTGTTTTGATTTCTGTAGCTTTACTATCCATTTGAATCAAGAAGTTTGATGTTTCCAGCTATGCTCTTTATTCATGATTGTTTTGGCTATTTGAGTTTGTGCAGTTGTGTGTGTTCCTATAGGAATTTTACAATTTCTATTTTTATGAAAAGTAGTGTTGGAATTTTGATGGA